CCACCAATAACCTACAGTGTCTGTAAGTGCTGCAAGCTTCAGGAAGGACATTTTCCCAGCGTTCTGTCCTCACTAGCATTGGGCAGAAGTAAAAATTTTTGTATATGCTTCCCCAGTCTCTACTTTGCTTAGAAAAGAAAGCTTTTATTGTTATCAAATAAAAAAACTTGAGGAAAGTTTGAAAAATAGAATTTAATGCTCCACATCATGTGTCATTGGGGAAATGCAAATTAACTCACCAATGAGATATCACCACCAACCTATAAGAGTAACCAAAATCCAGAGCACTGACACCAAATCACTAAACCCCAAATGCTGGGGAGGATGTGGAACAATGGAGACTCTCACTCACAGCTGATGGGAATGAAAAATGGTGCAGCCACTCTGCAAGACAGTTGACAGTTTCTTAAAAAACTGAACATACTCTTATCATATGATCCAACAATTGTTCTTCTTGATATTTTGCCTGAAGGAGTTGAAGTTTGTCCATATGAAAAATTCTACACAGATGCTTATAGCAGACTTATTCATAATTGCCAAAACTTGGAAGCAACCAAGTTGTCCTTCAGTAGGTGAATGGACAAACTGGGGTGCATCCACACGATGGAATGTTATTCCACACCAAAAAGAAATGAGCTATCCAGCCATGAAAAGACATGAAGGAAAATTAAATGCGTGTTACTACGTGAAGAAGGCCAATCTGAAAAGCCTAAATACTATATGGTTCCAACTATAGAACATTCTGGAAAAGGCAAAACTATGGAGATGGTAAAAAGATCCGTGGTTGCCGGGGGGTGGAGTGAGGAGGGGTGGGCTAAATTGGTGGACCACAGAGGATGTTTAGGACGGTGAAAACACTTTGTAGGATGCCGTAATGATGGATACACCTGACTATATGTTTATTTAAATCCATACAATGTACAACAGCTGGAGCAGAGCTGAAATATAAACTGTAGCCTTTGTGTGATAATACTGGGTAGGTTCATCAATTGTAACGAATGCACCCTGCTGATGGGGATGGTGATAGTAGGGGGGGCTGTGTGTGTGTGCAGGCCTGGGGGATATGGGAAATCTCTGTACTTTCCCCTCAATTTTGAACTTAAAATTACTCTAAAAATAGTCTTAATTAAAGGAAAAATAGAATGTAGAGCAGGAGAGCACATTCATTCACACTTTTATGAGTTTTCTGCCCCTATTTTTTATAAGCATGTTTTTAATTGGCTATAACATAGATAAATGTCTTTTCCCCTCCACATTAAACATAGCCCTCTCCTCTCCTTTTCACCAAAACAAGTCAGTCTTGACCCAAGGTTCCACTTTCACTGTGATCCCTGCCCTTCCCTCCATCGTTCTAGGGGTCTCCCCCCCCCCCCCGCCCCGCCCCGTGTCCCGTTCTGTGGTTGCCCAGCTGATCCCTGCACGGCACAGACATAGCACCCTTTTTGGTGGAGGGTTTTCCCAGAATGACCATAGCCCACCTTGTGAGATAGACCATGTGGTGACTCCCGCAGGTGCCCCAGCCTGATCCCCCGCCTCCAACATCCTAATGAGCTGGAAAACAGAGGGAAATTACCTTCATGAATATGCAAATGAAATTCCCAGGATCAGAGTGTGTCCTTATTCCTTCCCAAGACATCCTCAATCCCTCCTCCATTTGCTTGGTCATCTTGTTTCCCACTGAGCAGAATAGAGACCAGAAGGATGAAAAAGCCTTTGTACCTACTACCCTAAGGTCATAGCAGAGTGACCATATCCCTACCCCACCCCACCCTTAGGAAAAGAAGTAGTTCACAATAGCTAAAAACCTAAAGTTTTAGCTGCAATAGTTATCAACTTTTGCTTTCTACTTTAAAACAAATCTCCCTTTTCTTGAAGACATCTACTTTTGGTTAAAGGCACAGGCTCTCCAGCCATAGCACATGGGTTTGGATCTGGCTTTTCAGTTTGACAGCTGGGAAACCTTGGACAAGGTACTTTACCTCCATTTTCAGCCTTGTTTCCCTCATAGCCTTGATGTAGTGATTCAGTGTGTTGAATAGATATCAAGTTCTGGGGCGCCTGGTAGCTCAGTCCTTTAAGCATCCAACTCTTGATCTCAGCTTAGGTCTTGATCTCAGGGTCATGAGTTCAAGCCCTACTTTGGGCTTCACACCAGGCATGGAGCCTACTTAAAAAAATAGATAAGTTCTTAGACTGGGGACAGGTACCCAATAAGCATTATCTATGTTAGCCATTATGACTTTAACATGAAAATGTATGAAATTACTTAATAGCAAATTACTAACTTTCCCCATCCCATCACTGTCCCCATCAGATCTGAGTGAAAGAATTATGATCCCTGGAGATATACCATGTTCTAGAACCCTTCATACTGTACTGATGACCCCATGTTACAAAGCATGGAGGTAGAGAAAAGTTGACCCCTGAACAACTCCAGCCCAAATCCCAGTAGCTGGGTATTTGGTGCCAACTGGCCCCATTCCCTTTCATACCGAAGCTAAAACCCTTTTGCCTGGCACCAAAGCCCAGACCAATCTTGCTTGATCATGGATTTCTATCATGGTTTCTCACTGCTCCTGAACACCCTAAACCTTGACTAATCATTAAAGGAAACTTCCCCAAAATTGATATTTTGAAACATCACTTCTATATCCTAGGGCAATTCTCCATAGGAAAATGGGGATTTTCTTTTCTTTTTTTTTTTAATTTTTTATTTATTTATGATAGTCACAGAGAAAGGGAGAGAGAGGCAGAGACACAGGCAGAGGGAGAAGCAGGCTCCATGCCCCGGGAACCCGACGTGGGATTCGATCCCGGGTCTCCAGGATCACGCCCTGGGCCAAAGGCAGGCGCCAAACCGCTGCACCACCCAGGGATCCCGGGATTTTCTTTTCTTTTGTAAGGTGAGAAGTGGACTATTTTGAATACAAGCCCTTCTCAGACAATTCTAAGAAAGTGCAAATATAGAATTTGAGGACCCAGAAACCAGTTCCCTTAAAATTACTCTTGTGCACATACTTCTTGAAAAAGTCTCCTGCTGCCTATAAAGGGTAGATATACCCCATTTTGAAGACCACTGATCTAGTGTACAGTGCCCCAAATGCACTAGGCACTTGCTACATTTAAATTTGTCTTGAAGAAGAAACAATAGAATCGAAAGCACAGAGACAAGAAAACCAGGGCAGGTTTGAGGAACAGAAGGCAGTCAGTCGGCTTGGGCTGAAGTCACAGGTGGAAGTAGAGAGAATCCTAGGAAGCAAGGCCAGAAGGGAAGATTGGAGGCAGAGCACTAGGGCCTTGAATGCCTCATTCAGGTGTTTGGGCTTCAGCTTCATTCTAGAGTCACTGAGGAGTCTTAAAGTAGAAGCAGCAGCTATGGGATGACAGCAAGAACACTTTCTTGGGAATCAGAAGTCCTGAGTTTGTTTTGCTCTGGGAAAGCAGAAAGTCAGGGAAGTCTCTCTGAGGCTTTATGTCTTTGGTCAAGTTCTCTAGAAGTAGAGCCTGAGACAGGAATTCAGATGCATATGGCACATGGAGGGAGGGCCTTCAGAGAAAGGGAATGTGGGGAGCATGCCGGAGAGGAAGCTGCCAAGCCAGGCTGTATTTCAGGTGAAGACTGGGCCTTGAGCAGCCCAGGTGGCTCAGCGGTTTAGTGCCGCCTGCAGCCCAGGGCCTGATCCTGGAGACTTGGGATCAAGTCCCATGTCAGGCTCCCTGCATGGAGCCTGCTTCTCCCTCTGCCTGTGTCTCTGCCCCTCTCTCTCTCTCTCTGTCTCTCATGAATAAATAAATAAATAAAATCTTTTTTTTTTTTTTTAAACAAACTTGTTTAAGACTGGGCCTCATTTACAGCTGACCTGGGTGTAACTCATACCACAGCAGAGTCCTCCTGAGCAAAGGGCCAGGCTTGGACCCTACGTGAGCTGTTGGCCATTGTGACCTGCAGGCATCTCAGAGAAAGGCACTCCCGTCAGCCTGAGCTGGCTCCCAGAGGACACAGGCATGAGCCTTCCTCATTTTTGCCACACTCACGGAGGCTGGGGTGGGAGCATCAGCCACTAATGCACAGTTAGTACCACCGTCTACCACATCTGGCTTCCTCTTCTGTAAAACAGGCTAACATGCTGACCTCACTGAGGTTGCTGTGGGAGCCAGGAAATAGGAACTCTAAGCTGGGAAGTGGCAACAGTGAGGACACAAATGTGTGGCTGAGTGGCCTTGGGGTGGAGGCCAGAACCAGCCTGTGGCAGTTCATAAGGGCCCATTGCTAAATCTTTTTTTTTTTTTTAGACAAAAATATCTTTTATTCTCAATTTTTTTTTAAGATTTTATTTATTTATTCATGAGAGACACAGAGAGAGAGAGAGAGAGAGGCAGAGACACAGGCAGAGGGAGAAGCAGGCTCCATGCAGGGAGCCTGACGTGGGACTCGATCCTGGGACTCCAGGATCACGCCCTGGGCCAAAGGCAGGCATTAAACCGCTGAGCCACCCAGGGATCCCTCTTTTATTCTCAATTAAACAAAATCAAAACTCCAAACAAGTAGTACTTAAAAGATCCACTGACTTTATACTTTAAGTTGTGTAAAAGCTTTCTCTAAACCAGAATTACCTCAAATATGTCAGTATATCTTCTTTTAAAACTCTTTACTAAGACCAGTTACAACCACAATAGCACTTGGTAGAATAGTGATGTCTGAGAATCCCTGCACAATGGACAGCATCCAGTTAAAATATCAGTGTAGCTTTCATTCATCAAAAAAAATATTTTATTCAAGCTCCCAAAAGAAATTTGAGGAGTTAAGTTGGGTTTGAATTGAAGAACAAGGCCAAGTTAAATACGGAAACCAAGTCTTCATTTGGTGAAGTTGAAATCCGTGTATACATTCTAATCAAAGACCAGTCCCGTGTAGGATTTTTCAGGTGTTTAAGAGTCTACCAAGCCAAACCCTTCGCTGCTTTTGCTGCTTTGGCTTTGCTTTTCCCCTTCCCTTTTTCTCACTTTGCCTTTAGCCTTTTCCTTTGCCTCTGGTTCGTCCGTATGGGGTGCTGTCCATGCTGGTCTATAAGGCTCTTTCTGTTTCTCTTAATTTCAGTCTCCATTTTCATGTCATCTTTTTCATCTTGTACTACACACTGAGTTTGCTCTTGACAATGTTTGGGTACCACCATGGTGGCTATCCCTTGAACATCTTTCATTAAAACATCACTATCCATTTGAAGAATACTCTTAAGTCTGCTGAGTTCCTTTGGGGCATTCTTTTTTCTCTTTTCCACACGCATCTTCCTTTTCCACTTACTCCGTAAGCTTTTAGCCATGTTACCTGGAAAGCGGGACACTCGGAGGCCGGTCACCGTGCACACAGCCAGCTGACCGGAAGCCCCATTGCTAAATTTTTAAGAATTTTGCAAGCTGGTTGTGAAACGCAGCCATTAGGAAAAATTAAATTATGTAAGCTTACAATTAAATAATTCTATTAAACACATAGTAAGAAATAGTTCAAAACTCATCATTTCCTAATTTTTCAGGTGCATTTTAAAGTGGTCTCTATGATCTTGAGGTTATTTACATCTATTGTATTGATATGGTGGAAATATTATATAATGGTGAGTTGCGGCACATCTTTTCCCAACTCCCTGCTCAATAACCTCCTCATGTTGGCACCTTGGAATTTTTTATTTTTTATTTTTTGGCACCTTGAAATTGACCGTAGTGGGAGAATTTACATCACAGAAACTGGAAAATGTTACAAATCAGGCCTCCTCTTTTTTCTTAGTGAACCATTATTAAAAATTTACCAGCACATCACTGCTTCATGCCAACTCATTCTCCCCCAACACACAAAAAATGCACACAACAGACGCATGCCTGTTTAAGAGAAGGTTCTTTCTGGACAAGGAGAGGGGTGGTGTTTGTTTTGGATTTGTTTTAAAGATTTTATTTAATCATTTAGAGACAGAATATGTGCACAAACATAGGGAGCGACAGAAGGAGAGGGAGAGAGGGATCCCTGGGTGGCTCAGGGGTTCAGTGCCTGCCTTTGGCCCAGGGTGTGATCCTGGAGTCCCGGGATCGAGTCCTGCGTCAGGCTCCCCGTGTGGAGCCTGCTTCTCCCTCTGCCTGTGTCTCTGCCTCTCTCTCTCTCTATGTCTATCATGAATAAATAAATAAAATCTTAAAGAAAATAAGGAGAGGGAAAGAGAGAATCTTCAACAGACTCCCCACCTAGTGCTGAGCTTGATATAGGGTTCAGTCCCAGAAGGCTGAGATCATGACCTGAGCCAAAATCAGCAGTCAGACACTAAACTGACAGCCACTCAGGTGCCCCTTGGATTTTTTTTTTTTTTTTTTTTTTTTAGATTTTAGTTTTAAGTAATCTTTATGCTCAACATGAGGCTCAAACCTACAACCCCAAGATCAAGAGTTGTGTGCTCCACTGACTGAGCAGCCAGGCACCCAGTTGGTTCTTGGAATTTTTAAAGCAGGGTGTTAGTGAGGGCGGAAACACTGTGGGGCAGAGGGATAGGGAGTGGAGTGGGGGTGTCTTCTCTTCTACCAAACACACATCTTTGCAGGTAAGACCTACCTGGTTGGTCATGGTACTTCGTCTCTATGAAACAAAAAAGAGCCCATGGCCCATGAAAACTTCTCAGGTGCTTGGAATAATGTTAAATTATGGCCATTTATCCATTCATTCATAATGCACTCTTGTGTCTGAAAGCGTGTGGCACTGCTTAGTTTAGGCCCCAACCTCAAAGACAAAGTGAATGATAAGACTCTTTCCGAGCCAGGAACTTCCCTAGCAGGAAGATGACCTTTTCTCCAGCTCCTGACACTTAAGAACTTGAAGAAGTCAGTCCATTTGAAGTCTTTAGAGGAAGATTTAATTACTAAGGCTATTGTATTTACAAAGCCATTGTTATTTGTTAGACAAATTCTTTGTCATAAGTAAACTCTTAGAGGGCGCCTACCCAGAAGCCTGCACAAACACTGGTGAAGTTGTGACAAATCTTGTATTGAGAAGCACACACTGTCTCACCTGCCCAGTCAGATCTGCTCTCCTGGGACCACCCACCCGGAGGAGGTGGGAGGCAGAAGACCACCCATCTGGGCCTGGCTGAGCATGGAGCTCAGGTGTAAAGCTTGCAGACAGGAAATGCAGATGCTTATTTAAAACACCCTCCTGCTCACCTCCCAGGGGTTCTGTGCTAATAAATTGGCATTAATAAGATAAATTAATTGAGGGTGGCCTGGCTCACAGGCCAGGTTCTCAGCTGCTACCTCCTGGCTCCCAGCACTGGCAGCCAGCAGGAATTGTGCTGGGGGTGAGGAGCGGGGTGGGGGATGGGGCAGAGACAGAGGAACCCAGGGTCTGGAGTGCAGGGCCCCTGGCTTGCTGTAAACTACAGGTGAAGCCTCGTCTGTTTCTCCCCGGCCTGCTGAATCTGGTCTGGTACAGAAGGGAATACTTTTAACCATTCAGATGTATAGTTCCCTTGGCAGAGTAAAATTATAGCCATAGGATGGACAGGATGGAGAGACACAGAAACCACATTTTCCTGTTAGAAAACGGAGACACATGGTCACCGGACTTTTATACATTTGCGGTGTACAGAGGTAGAGCCTGAAAGATAGTTTGGAGGTTGAAATGTTGCAGTGGATGGGACATTGCAATGGTTTATGGAAACAACATGGAAGACCATTGTAAATCTTACCTTGCCCAGAAAATCACTGGCTGCCACCTTAGTGAGATTTTATGTTTGCTACATGAAGACAAATATTTTATTTGGCTACGTTTCCATAGCCAACATGGTTATTTCTGGCTACTATGTGTATTTCTCTAAGAAATAACTCTAGAAAAATAAGGTCTGTTTCAAACATAAGTAGGGAAACACATTAGTTTTCAGGCTGTAAGGATGGCCAGGTTCTTTATATATATATTTTTTCCTTTGGTCTGTTCAATTTTTATGTATTTGACAACCTGATCATAATCTGTTTACTTCATTTAGCCCATATTTATTCAAGGAAGCATTCTTTATAGTGTGCTTCTATTTTTTAAAAAAGATTTTATTTATTTATTCATGAGACAGAGAGAGAGAGAGAGAGAGAGAGAGAGAGAGAGAAAGGCAGAGACACAGGCAGAGGGAGAAGCAGGCTCCATGCAGGGAGCCTGATGTGGGACTGGATCCAGGGACCCCAGGATCAGGCCCTGGGCTGAGGGTGGCACTAAACCGCTGAGCTACCCAGGCTGCCCTATAGTGTGCTTCTAGATGGTCTCATGCCTGTCTTGGACTATAAATGTCTGTGTAATTATTTGACCAGCAAGTAGCACAGCACCGCCTGTAGGAAGGTACTTTGAATGACCCATTTTGAACAATTTTTTATTTTAGTTAATTTAAATTTAAATAGCCACATGTGGCTACTGGCTACCATCATTACACACTATGTTCACAACTACATTACAATCTATGTTCACTGCTCTGTTAAAAAAAAAAAAAGATAACTAATTTGAGAGAGAGTCTGTGCTCCAGAGAACGCATGGGGTGGGGGGCAGAGTGAAAGAATCTCAAGCAGGCTCCCCCACTGAATGCAGAGCCTGACGCAGAGCTCAAACCCAGATCCCGAGATCAAACCCAAGCCAAGATCAAGAGTCGGATGACTAACCACGGAACCCCCGGGCGCCCCCACGACAGTTCTGCCCCAGTTTTGCTTTTGTCCGTACATTTATTCACCCATTCAACAAATATTTTTGGAGCTTCAGCCCTAGGCTCTGTGGATATAGGATTCCCTGCTTTCAGGAAACTTCCAGGCTAGCAGGGGAGACACACCTATAAGGAAACATGGTGTGATGAGCGCAGGGAAGGAGCATTTATTGTGTGCACTGCTGCCCAGAGGAGAGGCTGGTTCTGGCAGGAGAGAATTTTTTCCACAGGAGTTATGTTTAAGCTGGGTCTTAAAATAGTAGTATACCACAAAGTTAAAATGATTGAGAGCATTCAGGAAAAGAAGTTGTTAAATATATTTTAACCATTTGATCTTAATGGCATGGATGCCTTTGTGGTTAGCAGTGTATAATCACTCTGAAGACTGCTCATACATATAGGTTTGCAAGGCAACTACAAAAGAAAAAGCTCTTTAAATTTTTAAAAGTTTTATTTATTAACGAATCTGTACACCCAATGTGGGGCTCAAACTCATGACCCCACCATCAAGAGTTACATGCTCTTCGGATTGAGCCAGCCAGGTATCCCTTTTAAAAATTTTAATTGTAATTTTTTTCATTTTAAGATAAAGCTATTTTGACAAGGGTTTTCTGAATGTCAGGATTTTCCAGCTGAGGAGGGATTGCGTTCATTCCAGTTGTTTGGAGACTGGGTCAGAAAGCAACCTGCTGGAAAATCAGCCCTTAAAGGCCTCCGGAAAACCAAGGTTTCATATATAGAGTGAAAGAGTCTGAAGCTGAGCTTGTCTTCTTGCCAGCTAGCTGATGGGAAGTAGGAGAGAAATGTCCGATTCCCCTACTATTACTGGTAAACAGGTGGGGAGCCTTCTACTGCAGTAGAGAACAGCTCCAAAAATCCTTCTCCCTCTAATGCATTGATGCGGATGAAATTTGCCCCAAATGATCATTGCAGATAGTTTTAAAGGGAGAAATGTGCCCTGTGTAAAAGTAGGCACCAGGGTGGCTCCATTGCTTCAATCTCGGAGCAGGGACTGGGCTAAGACACGTGCCTAGTCTCGGGGCTGGCTACTTGCTATGCCGAGGTCTCTCCTCCTCTCCACCTACCTCCTTGTTTACTGCCCAGTCTACTGGGAATAGAATTTTGCCTGCCTAGGGTAGAAGACTAATTCCACATACTTGGGGAAGGCTCTGCATCTGGGAGCCAACAGCTTGGTGACCAGAAGCTCAGTTCTGCCCTCAGCAGTGCTGGACAGGAGGCTAATCCAAAGCAGAGTTTATTTATTTATTTATTTTTAATCCCAAAGCAGAAAGTGGGAAAACAAGTGAAAAGACACTCTCCAGCTGGATGGGGGCAGAAAAGACTAAGTACCTAGGAATGTGCTGAATGTAGGGGCAATGGGGGATTGTGGGAAGCATGAGGTCTCCATACGTGTGCTGCTGCTGCTGACCACCAGCACCGTGGTGTGGCCAAATGGGAGAAGGATCAAGGCCAGTCTCTCCTTCCCTCAATTCTATATACAAATTGAAATGTGATCCTCCCTCTTGGCCTATAGGGAGCAGGGAGGAGATGCTGAGGCAGACAAGAGGAGAGTCTTGTCTTTATCATGGCTTCTAGCTTCTTGGAAGATCTATAAGGGACCAGGGCTCCCT